CCAGTAATAATTAAAAAAAATATTCATCATTTTGAAGATGCTAACACTGAAGCAAAAGGTATTCAAGTCACAGCTATAACTATCCAAAATGTAACTATCAAAATCAAAAATGGTAGTATACCTGTGGTTATTTTATAAAGAGTCCTATAAAACATAATGTCAATTGCTCAGTGCGGCAAAACACACCGGAATTGAGGAGAAATTTAAATGGCAATAACTATCCTAAAGATATCCAAGAACTGATATTAAAAAAAAGGCGAGGAAAAATTGGTGGTTCAACCCCACATTACCAAACAGAAGTGAACAATCTTTACTGAACATTAAATTAAACAGTATTGAGCAATATTAGCTGCAAACGAAAGTAGACCAGTCGGTTATCCAGCTGAAATCCAGCTCCATGTTACGACCTTATAACCGGCCGCGAGTTTTCGAGAAAAGCAATAAATAAAACAACTAACCAAGTGCTTCATTCTAACTACAATATGTTTCACAGCTGTGGTTAGTGATTACCGGGGAAATCACTTAACTATTCAACTAGACGTGTAAACCGATACTTGTACCTGTTACTTTGGAACAATTATTTGTATGATGTTCCTTGCAATAGTTACTAAACTTAAAAAATAATAAGTACAAAATTAAATAGTTTTATAAACTTTATCGATTCCTTCTCAACGTTACTTGTTATTCAGTATAAGTACGAACAACAAAGTTTTAATATACCGGGTGTGTCGGAAGGAACGGAGTGTATTTTACGCTTGAAAATAATATAAAAAAATCATATGTTGTTATCCGATTTTCCTTTGTTTTTAATTGATTGCAATTAAACATTTAAAGTTAATTTGACATTTTCATTTGCATTAAGTGCTATAAAATTCCAAGTACGTATTCACATTTAGAATATACAGATATGTTATTTATATATGGTTTTTGTAACGGTTTCCAAATCGCAGACATCCTAATAAAAACGTTTTTATTAGGGTTTTCAATAAACTGCACGAGACCGGTACTCTTCCTAGCGTTAAAATAACATCTGAACGAGCTACTCGTCAATGTTTAAATGAAGTAGAAAATATTTTGGATCTAGTAGAAGAAGATGCAACGACCAGCTCACGAGGAATTGCTGTTCAATTACACATTCCACAAAAGAGAGTAATAAACACACTCCGCGAGCAATGCTTATATCCATACCTTTTAGGTAAGGTACAACATCTACTGTCAGAAAATTATGTTAAACGAATCGAATTTTGTCGGTGGATAAATAATGATCATCGCGTTGTATTGCATATTCTTTTCACGGATGAAGCAACATTTACCCGTGACAGCCTATATAATACTCGTAATAGTCACGTATGGTCGGATGAAAATCCCCATGCAACAATCGAAAACAACTTTCACACAAATTTTCGGTAAATCTGTGGTATGGTATATACTGGGTGTTTTTGTAAGCCCCTTTCGTAAGTTCTCTCTGGCTTAAAAAAACATCCTGTATATATTTTTTGTAACAACTATTACCAATTAAACTGGTACTGGTACTTAAAAACAAATTATCATTATGAAGTTTTTGTACCGAAGTCGTTTTAATTAATTATTCTCCTATGTTGTTTTTATTTCTGTAGAAATTCGTATGATACGCTTACAAAATTTAAAATTTATTGCTCGGAACTGAACTGAAAATCGAAAAAAAAAACATTATTTTTGTTGGAATATTTTTTGTCGAAATTGAATCGAAAAAAACAATACTTTGAAGCCCTGGTTTAACGGTAACAGTCTACTGTACTCAAACTAGTATTACATAGAGGTACAGATTAAGTATCGAATACCTTGTACACTGTTGTATAACGGTTGGAGCAGAGGAACAGTTGTAACAGATATTTGCACCTATTACTTTTTAAGAGCAGAAACATATTGTACCTGTTCCCTAAACATACTAGTAACATCTCTATATGCAACATCCTATCGGCCAATATCACTACTGGAGATAATGTCCAAACAAGCGACAAAGATCATACCATCGAAAAGGGACTAAAAGAAGAGAAGGTTTGCTCAGCGATATTTCTGGATAAAGCGCAAGCCTCCGACAATGTATGGCATGAGCGATTGAATCATAAGATTGAAGTTTCTGTCCAATATTCAAATATCTTAGAATTTTATTTATCTGGACGCAAGCTGGTGTGCAACAGGGTAGTGTATTAGGGCTGGTCCTTTATCTTTTATAAAGAGCAACCTTTCCTACATTTGATGAAAATGTAGTAACCACATTTACAGGCAACCCCGCAATTCGAACCAGTGGAAACAACAACAGTAATACAATCGAAAACTCATAAGAAGTGGCGTATTAAATTAAATAATAACAAGGCAGTATATAGTCTGTAGTCTCTGAAGTTGAGACATGATGAGGTTGTGAAAGCTTTTAAAAAATTTAAGCCAAAAACTGCGACAGGTCTAGATGGTATCGCCGCATATAAAAAAACAACGCGTGTAAAGTTGACCATAGATTTCAGCCATAGATTTTAAACTGAAAAAAATTCGTAATCGGGGTATTTCATCGATCTAATTTCAACGGCATCGTGTTCATGGTCGCCTCTTGTTTCAAATTCGAAAAGAAAATTTTCCTAACCATTTCCTATAGTCCAGGAAAATCGATTTTTTTCAAACTTTCGCAAAATTCGGCCACTTCGGAGTTTTTAATCGATCTAATTTCAATGGCATCGTATTCCTGGTGGCCTCTTGCTTCAGATTCGAAAAGAAAATTTTCCTAACTATTTAAGAAAATCGATTTTTCCGGAATATAAGAAATGGTTAGGAAAATTTTCATTTCGAATCTGAAGCAAGACGCCACCAGGGATACGATGTCGTTGAAGTTAGATCGATTAAAAACTCCGAACAGGCCGAATTTTGGCTGAATTTCAGGCTGAAATCTATGGCCAACTTCACACGCGTAACAAAAGACTGTGCTCCTGCATTATTACAGCCTTCGCAGCATATTTTCAATTTAAAAATCAAGAATGCCGAGTACCCGAAGATCTAGAAGTTGAGCAGAGTTTGCCCTGTTTTTAAGAAAGGTGATAAATGCTATCGACCTATTGCTATTATAAATAATTTTTCAAAGCTTTTTGAGCAAATCGTGACACGCAAAATCGAATTTTACACTAAGGCTCGTATATCTGACCAACAACATGGGTTTTGCAGAGGCAAATCCACAGCAATCATCACGCATGGAATGCACTAGATTGTCGAAGTCAATGCAAATATATGTTACTAATGGCATACACCAGGGATCCATACTAGGCCCTTTGCTGTTCAACATCTCTATAAATAATTTACCCACGATTTTCAATACGAATTCACTCATATACACAGACGACCTGAAACTGTTTAGGACTATTGGTTAAAAGCAGCATTGTGAATTATTCCAGTTAGATTTAGACAGACTTCATTTGTGGTGTTCTGAGAACAAATTACCCTTAAATACTGCCAAATGCCAGGTAATGACATACAGCCAGAAACGTAACAGCACACTTTTGATTATGTGTTTGGAGTGGATCACCTGTCACGTATCTCAATAGTGAAATGCATCTTGCATCTTGGAGTGCAGTTTGATGGTCCTTTAATGATCATATTGACAGAACATCGGCTGGTGCCTTTAGAACGCTAGGGTTTATCGCAAGAAATAGTTTGGAGTTTACTGATTTAAAAACAATAATAGATCTGCTAATGCGTAGCAAACTTGAATTTTGTTGCATTGTGTGGACCCCGTCTTATTTGACGCCTTTTGCCACCATCGAGAAAGTTCAGACAAAATTCGTTAGATTTATCCACTACTTCGATTTTAGTTATTATCCACCTAGAGGAGAATTGAATTACATACATCTACTACGACGTTATGGCCTCCACAGTCTTGAGGATCAAAGAAGATTGCTGTTTGCTGGGTTTGTGCGGGATGTGTTGTCGGATGTGCTGGTTGCATCGGAAGTCTTGGCTCAATTGAATGTGAGAGTGCCGCGGATCAGTGCGCGTGTTTGTAGTGCCTTTATGCTGAATCATGAATTTAGTCGAGTGAAACTCTTTTTTAATTTTTATTTCCATTTTATTTGTTTGTTTTTTTTTATTAGAATTATCTGTTTATTGTAACATTATTTCTTTATTGGATTGTAATACGTTGGGATAAAGATTATTATTATTATTATATATTTATGAACAAGTAGTCTCCTACGAAAATACAGCTAAATATCATGGCATGACCCTTGACACTAAGCCCAGGTGGAAATCATATATCAAGAAAAAACATTAAAAATTCAGACTTAAACACAAGAAAATTTACTGGCTATTGGGCAGACGATTAGCATCCTGAAACAGTCTAGGCTTATGGTATTCAACTCTGAGGTTGTATCAGTCAAATCAATCGAAATATCGTGGAAAGGATTCAAAATATAGTACTTAGAGGAATTGTTAGCGTCCCACAGTAAATTCAAAATGACAATCTACACAAGGACCTAATAGTGGAAACTGTCGACAACGTTATCAAAGACCCGGACACGCGAACAGAGGCTACATCAGCAGATAAACGTTGAGCTTCTCCAGGTCCTAGATAACAATGGCTTAGTTAGAAGATTGAAAAGAGTGAAACCATTTGAACTGGTATAGTGAAAGTGAGAAAAACCTAGTACACATGAAAGCAATGTTAGATTAATTTACTAGATTGCTACATTGTCATTTTATAATTCTTTTTGCTAGTTCTAATCGCGATTAAGTTTAGATTAAATAGCACTTTATTACAATTTGATATGTCTTTAAGTTTTTAATGTACAATTATTTCTATAATTCTTTTTCTGTCGCACTAGGCACAATTTAATGTTAAAGATAAATCGTGGTTAAAACGTAAACAAATTTCTTTTTCACGATTATTGTGTAAATGAAATTTAACATTAATTTAACAATTAAGCCGTAAAATTCTACTTTTATAGGTGCTCCAAAAAAATTATATCATTGTTACTACTTACATCCACGTAAACTCCTTCAACTGGATAACTGGTGAACTCAGGTTTTGCCCTTGGGACGTACCTGTAAAATTCCTCGTGATCTTTATACCATTTTACAGCGTACAAACTGTCATTTCCCAGGTCGTAATCGCACTCCAACTGGGCCATCTCGCCGGGCACCCGATATTGCGGTACATGTATCCTGACCCATTTTATACTCCCGCTGGATGTGGCCACTGTAACGGGTAAGATACCAGCTACTACGATATAGTACAGTTTGATCTCGTGAACGCCTTTTTCCATCGGCACACATCGGTGCATTTAAATCGACCGATTTTCTTGTGCCGACTCGAAAGAAACCCCACTCTAGCAAAATAAGTGCATATTGAAACGTGAGTTAGAAAGATCTTTACGAAAGTGTTACTTAGTTGGGGTAGTAACAATATCATCGTCGAAATTATATGATATTCGTTTTTATTGAGCTTTTAAGAACTATACTACATTCAAAATATTCTTGAAAACATGATAATTAAGTATTGTGTTATTTTTTTAATTAATAATATGTGTTGTTATTAATATAATAATGTTATTATAATTTTAAATGTTGATATTTGCGTGATGTTTTTAAAACATGTATTAAGGTTAAATACCGGATTATGTTTCACATGAAAAGTTAATTTGGAAACAAAAAAAAAAGATAATTATTATTCTTGACGTTGAAATATGCATTTTTCCGGTTAAGGGACGAAGAAGTTAAAGTTCACTTCGTTAACCAAGATAAATCTTTTCAGATTTCAACTTTTAAACGATATTTTATAATTATTGTTCTTGAACGAACTTAAAGTTAGTTCATTTTGATTCAATTAATTTTAACTAATAACTAACTAATAGAGTAACATCATATTTAGCGCGTCCCGGTTAAATATTCCCCAATTTTAACATGCAACCCACACGGTCTCGATGGCCAACAGGTGTTTCACGGAAATTTCTAATTTAATTCTCTCTAACTCTGCAATTAACAATAAATTTATAACTTTTAACTCACCGTTAACAAATCCCAAAAGAATCATCATTGGTTGTGTTAAAAATAAGAAAAGAATAATTGTTAATTCCCGCATTTTTGTTAAAACTCTTAAATTTTGATGAATTCATTACATTCTTAAAATAAAATTTCTAATAAAATTTGCTGGTTTAAAATAATTTTATTTTTTTGCCACTAAGAAACAAAAATCATCACAATATTAATACAAAACTCTCGCACTACGAGTCGTTTTTGGCGAAGGTGCTGCCGACCTCCGGAACGTTCCGACAACGGCAATAAACTGCAAAACTGAACGTTGGTCGCTACTCTCAAGTTTAGATTCTGTAGTTATACCAAAATCGGTGCGCACATGCGCCGAACAAATACTGAAAATCAAGAGATATCAGATATATCTACACATACCCAAAGTTTTTTTTTTGTATTAGAACTAAAAAATTAAAATTAATTATTCTTTAAGTCTAACGATTGTTTTCTAAAAGAATTCATGAAAATGTAATCAAAAACAACTAGGCTTCATTAAATTATTAATTTATTTCCGTGCTAAAAGGCAAATCCAAGATTGTTGTTCTTCAATTACTCAGAATAAATTACACGTTAATTGAATAAATAACGAGACAGTCTCAACTTGTTTCTAAGCGACCTTTTCTCTTTTGTCTGTAGTAAATGAGGGATTGTAAATCGATGTCCGATTGATTTAGAGTCGCGCTTTAAGTGGAAATACTTGCTGACCGCGTTTATGGTGTTGAAAACCAGGTTCCAGGTCGAATCGTGAAGTGGTATCCTGTTCAAGAGAAGGTACTTTAACTAGATCGTGACGTAGAAATCGGATAGACTATTAAGGGCAAGGCGAAACTCAAGTGTAATGTTGTGGTCGTGCATAACCACCCAATAATGATTAGTCCACGTTGATACTTAAGGTCTCTATATTAAATTTTGAGACTACCCTATATACGAGTAGGGAATAAATTAAAATTAGAACTTCATGAGTAAACCGAACAAATATAATTACTTTCTATGTCATCCTTTATCAAATAAACACACTCTCGGAAGTTTAAAAAAACTTTAACTGTATTTGTATTGATTTAAAGGGCGAAAACAAAGAAGCTTTTATAATAAACTCTTATCTCTAAGAAAGCCACTGGTGGTGTGACATTCTTCCATTATTTCGAGGAATTAGAATGGATGCTGTTTAAATTCATGAACAGGTATAGTCATCACATGCAGAAGTTCCTTCCCTCTATTTATATCAATGTTAGTACCTCTTCATTATTCCATTATAAATATCACTCCGCAAAGTATTAAATTGTATTTAAACCTTTGATGTTTAAATCTTATTAAATTTAATTTCTTATAAGTATTACAAACTTAAATAATAAATTCAATCATTTAATTCGAAAGCTCGACTTCAATTTTTGTTTCGTTTTGTCCTCGTTCGGTATGCGGAATACTTGTGGCGACTTTTCAAGACCTTTATTACTGAACACAAAATAACAAAGAACCTCCCCAAAAGTTCAATTGCCAATCTGATTCTAGAGTAACAGAAACCCAAGCTTGCAGTGATCTTTATTCTACAAGGATTGTACGTAAACGACGGAAACCGAATAACTCTGAAGAGATGAATCAACGCCTACGAATTTATAATTGAAGGGAATTTATACGACTTGGCTTTTGTCTCTGATATTGCAATAACCGAAACTAGCTGGACAACAAACTTATCCATCATCATCCTATGGTGTACATCCATTGGTGATCTTTGGTGATTTTTTTTTACTCCACTCTATTAAGTGCTGTCGCTCTCCAATTTTGAACGCGCACCTTCTTTATATCGTTAGTCACACTGTCTATCCATCTCATTCTAGGCCTTCCCCTATTTCTTGGTATATCCGGTTTGCACGCAAATACGTTCTTTGCTTTCCTGGTTTCACTCATTCTTCAGATATGTTCCATCCATATTATTCTTTGAGTTTTGGCAAACCTAACACTGTATTCTCCTTCAATAATGTCGTTTAATTCTTCTTTTAATTCTTTATTTTGCGCCGAAAATTCTTCGTAATATTTTTCTTTCAAATAACTAGGGTATTCTCATCTTTTGTTGTAAATGACCGGACTTCGCATTCATATGTAACAACCGGTCTTATTGTCATTTTATACAGTAATAGTTTCAACTTTTTAGATAGCAGCTATGATTGGAATAACTTTTTGCGAGCGCATTAACATGCATTTCCAGTTCTTATTCTGTTTAGTATACAGTGTTGTATGCTATTATCATTTCTTAGTAAAATGCCCAGGTACACCTAATGCTTTCCACACCTTCGAAGTTGTACTCAGCAACAGTTTGCGGAGTTTTTCTATTTTTATCTCTGAACCTTTCTACCACGGCGTGTAAAGAGGAGCCGATCGCATATCCAATTACTTGATATGCCTTATTCAATATGCTTCCCTCTAGATCACCAATTGCGGGGCTAGATTGAACAATAACGTTGATAGTGCCTCGCCTTGTCTAAAACCATTATTAATGGCAAATATTTCCGACTTTCTATCTTGTACTATTACTTTCGCTTTAATTGTTATTTTAATTTTCGCTTTACATTGTCATCATTACCAAGTTGACGAGTTTCTTTGGAATACCTTGCTTTCTATTGATTTTTTCAAAACAATAAAGCGTAATTTTATGTAAATACAACTAACTACTTATTACTTTTCAGAAACAGCACCAACCCAGAGCTGACTATTGAAGGTAAAAACAAAGAAAACGACGAATAGGTATCTATAAGATTGTAAAAATTTATAAATATTAACCATGAACCACCATGAGTTAAAATGGTGTTCAAAATCCTAAATCAAAATAAATGGAGCGAAGTTTAAAATTAATTTTAAAAGTACTTACGCTAAGATTTTCATTCATATAGTTTGTGGTTGCGCGTTTCGGTTTCTTGTCGATTTCCTTTTGCTGTGACCCTGGTACAAGTGGATACACTAGCTTGGATGTTGTGTATAGCAAAGGAAGCAAAATGGGTTGTTCATTGAGGTTGAGTTGAATCAATTAGAGATGCAAACCCTTGTGTTAGAGTCCATCGTCCACTTATGTAAATTCGGAACTCGGTAAAAAATGTAGAAACTCACCAGTATTGATCACTTTTGTTTAAGAGTCTCTAGAATCACTGTTACAAGATGCTACTAACTGCGCCGTTAGATACTTTTGATTACAACAGACTTTACTTGTTATGATTTATATGAACGATTGTGATAATATGGCGGTTGGAGCTATCTTAAGTAACAAAAGATGCAAAAAAGCTTCTTTATCAAAGAAGGTGGTATAACTTTCTTTGTTTCTAGTAATTCAACACACCGGATTTTCCATAACTATCGTTTTAAAGGAATGCAATGAACTTTATGCAGAAGTGTTTTTACATGTGTTTATTCCAATATTGCTGATTCTTGATTATTCTACTATAAATATCGGAAATTGATGAGATACTAGTACAGCTTCTCCGCATATCGTCAATGTTTTAGCGGTGTTAAATGAAATTCCCTATTATTTTATTTTGTAAGTGTTGATAAGTGTTATACATCTGAGACGTCAAATCAGACGTGTCATTTTTCTAGGATATGTTTCGAGTCAAATGTGCCTAAAATTTTGAGTACAGTTTACTTTAAAATAACTGTACTTATTATATACGTAGATGAAATCGTCAGTTCCTGAGCCATGTGATGGATCTCTCTTAAATTTTGACGCTTCCATTAGATCTTTTGTTTTACTGTATTATGTACTTTTGGTGCCCCTTTCATTGTTGTCCTCCGCAAACCCGCATACACACATAAATTATACTTATACATACACAAATTATTACTAAGGTCGATATGTGGGGTTAATTGCAGTCAAATCACCTTGGGAAGGTTGTATAATTGTGTGAGTGGGCATTCAATTTATTATCTGCATTTACTTTTTGCCATGAGCACCAAGAATCTGATGGTTGACAACATTTTTCGTGGTGAGGACAAAACGTATAAAAATAACCAATCTAATTTCTTTCAAATTGATGAACATCATCGGGATCCATTTTTCGAAAGTCGTTACAACTCTGCACCATTTATGGTTATACTTTAACTAATTACTAACATCATTACTTTTGAAAAAGTCAACATTTGGTTGGATAGAACAGACTATTCTGGATCCCGCCGTTTGATCTCCATACATTATGTATATATTTGTATTGTAGTTTCTTTTTTGTAATGGAGACAATAAAGTCATTTATTATTATTATTATTATTATTATTTATTGAAGGGTTAGTGAGAAAACGTGTTCTAATTACTATTCATAATCTAATATGATATCAAATTATGAAATATTTTACACAAATATTAAATAAATTGTGGTTACTTGAAAACTAAAATGAAACTTTTATATCATTCATGTTCACAATTATTATATTTAATAGTAAATTTCTTACCAACTAAGCTAAAAAAACATATTCGTTTTTCATAAAGTTTAAGACTTTTGGCCAGCTAAAATCGTAATCGGTGTCAGTGTACGGCACCAACGACACCCAACAAAATTATAATGTCTAAACACCCGTTAATGATTTTTATGGGAAGATTGCGTGCCAACGCACACGAGGCAACGGGTTCAAATAAAATACTTATAGCGAATATACATATACAAATTTTAATTCATTCATTTAGTGACAAGAGATTTGAAGAAATTCTTATACATATATGATTTAACCACCAAAAAAGAAGCTAATGTGATACCTATAAAAAATCTGATACAAGAACAATATAATGAAATAGCCTCAAATAGCATATTTGTATTAGATTTAGGAGATGCAAACATTGACCTGGAAGTCAAATTACGACAACCAACTAATATCGAAACGGCAGAACGTTACGCACTTGAAATTAGAAATTACAATACACATACAACACTTAGTTTACAAAATAAGACAGCCGCAACAAACATGCGAATTATCATCAAATCAATTCCAATGATTGACAATCGTTTTAATCCCTCGCAAAGGATTCCAATGCAACCACCACAACAGTATGGACATAAGCCAATCCGATTTATTCTAACTGCGATAATGCCACTTCCCCGATTATTTAGCCAACACAATTCCAACGGCACAATTACATTAGCGACCATAAAGGAACCACAAAAGAGAAATGTCAAATAATATCGAGTTATCATTCGAGGATACTTAAATTACTGCCTGTGACTGTTATTGTTGTATACTTAAATGGTGAACAAATAGATGATAATAATTATGGTATAGAAGATTTAAATTCTTCAATTCAAAGTT